TTGAAATTTGAGAAATTTTTTATTTCAAAAGAAGATTTTGTTGGAAAAAAAAACAAAAAATAAATGTGGGGGATTTCGAAGTCCAGAACGGTTAATAAAATTACTTCTAATTTTTTATAATTTAAATTTAATTTAAAATTCCATTTCTTAATCTTTGAGATGTTTTCAAAATTTCTGGGAACATATTTATGTGCTGGACAAAGAATTCACAGCTTTCATCAAAACAGCGGAATTTTTCGTTATAATTAAGTTTCCTCGAACTTTTTTATTTTCACACTAAATGCATCCATTGAGCATTTAATAAATTAGAAAAAAATACCGAAGTTGTTAAAATAAACACGAAAATGTTTTGAAATTAACAAAAAATGTAAGAACTGTGTTGTAAAGGTAATTTCGAGGCGGTGAATAAAGCGAAAAGTATTTGGAGCGCCGCATAATGCCAAGAACCAAGACACCGGGCCGCGTGCAGCGGGAAGCGGCGGGCACCACTATAGGCCTACAATTTCATTTTTTGGAACAAAACTGACAGTTGAAAAATGTCAAAATGCTTTGCTTTTGATTAATAAAATAATTCTGTAGCAAAAATATTAATTTTGATGAGACATTGTCCAAGCAGCGGTGGGCGTCAAATAGGTGTTTCCCGGTTTTTTATGCTTTATTGAAGAAATAAAACGGCACGATTTTTTTTCTCTTGTTGATTCTTTGTTGAGTTAATAAAAACGCATTTATTTTATATTTTAAATCTGAACATCTGAACGTCTGAATATCTGAATTATTTCCTTTTATATAAACTATAAAAAATTGAGATTGAAGCGAAATTTTCGGGTAAATGAACTTTTGCAATTTTGATGGAAAACTTTCCCTGTGGTTCTTTTGTTTGTTTATTTGTATACTTTTTATATATATTTATTAACATTTTTATGATGTTTTAATGCAAGTCAATACTTTTCCCGACAGAAACTCAATTTTCACTTCCATGAATTTTAAGATTTCTACTTGACAATCTTCTATTTTGCAGGGCGCAAACGGATGTCGTCTTTCTTCGATGCAAAAAAGAAGATATCAAAAAAAAAATACATATATTTTTTTATTTAATTTATTTTCATATCATAACATAATGTTTTTATTTTATTAAAAATAATTTTTAAAATTTTTTAATTTTGTTTATTTTTTTAATTTTAGTTACCCGCGTAGCGAAATATTTTCTTGTTAATGAAGCGAAAAAAATTATTTAAAATTTTTATTTTAGACACGAAGCGAAAGTGAAAAACTTAAAATAATTTTAATACGAAATTTAAATTAAATTTAAAAAATAATTGTACAAAAATAATCATTTTAATTTGGAACATTAATATGTGCAATGAAGCAATTTATTTGCAACAACATTTCAAATGTATCGGTGAGGTGATTTACCAAGAAAAGTTAGACATAAACAATTTTTTTATAGACTTTTATAATTTTATGGAAAATTTGAATGAATTTGATTACTTAAAATTGAAAATATAAATAAAACATATTAAATAATCATATCAGAGAAATAATTTTTAACTCACTTCAAATCTTCTATCCGAAAGAACTGTAGAACATTAATGGGTGTATTGACAGGTCACTATCTGGTCGCATTATATGCGCACAAACTAAAACTAATTCACAGCGATGCTTGTAGGAAATGCAACGAGCCGGATGCAAAGGACACTCTAGAGCATTTGCTGTGTAACTACCCGGCTCTCTCGAGAACTCGACAAAAATACTTGGGGTCTGTCAGTTTTTCCGGACCGGACTGGAGCACATACCTGAGGTTTCTGTTGAAATCCTAATAAAATTCGCTAATAAAACGCGCGTCCTAAGTGATACACACAATCGCTAAAACATAAAACTCCTGATCTGATACTACAACTGCACCTTAATGGTCTTTTTGTCAGTCCCAGCAGTAATCCTCAAGTCTAAATCTTCCAAAAGTAGATCTTTTAATATTTCGTTCACGTCTGTTTCTTATTTCATCAACATCTGGGCTGTTGTTGTTGTTGTAATCCACTGGGACCTGCATGTGAAGTCCCCTTGGCACTTGGTCGTCACTGGAGACGAATGGCTCTGAGATGTAGACCCAGCCGTTCTTGGAACCTTGGAACATCTGGGGCTTCAACTTACTCGTTGTGACAGTAGAAAAATTGTACTTAAAGTAAAAATAAAAACATAACTTGACGCTAGATGGCGTGTGTGATTTGTGTTAGTGTATTCAGCGTAAAGGTTTACACTTTAAATCTATCTATCTCAAGAAGTCAGCAA